ATATATATATAGAGAGAGAGAGAGAGAGAGAGAGAGAGAGAGAGAGAGAGAGAGAGAGAGAGAGAGAGAGAGAGTATTGTCTCCTCGACAGGGTATTGTGATCCGTTACCTGATTGTCCTCCAGTCTTTTCCCTCCTTGTTGCCCTGTTCCTCTCTCCCAACTGCGTACGCGGCTCTTACCAGGTCCCTCATAGAGCGGGCTTTACTTGCCACGACGGATGGAGGATGCATTGCAGACCGTCATCAGTCGGTACAGTAGTCCATAGGAGGCTTGAGCTTGCTCCCCGCTGTCGCCTTACTCTTCAAGCGCTCCCTTGACGTTAGCAGCAGTCTCTACTTACATTCGGAGTTTTAAAGGAAAGAACGAAGGATGCCTCACTCAGATCCCTGACGCGACGCTGAGGCGTGAAAAGCTAATCCCGTCCTCAATGGCGTGAATCGTACTGGCCCTCGTTCATGCTGCCAGGGAGGTGGAATGCGGGAGACACCGTCTTGCTCTGCAATGCAATGCAATTCTTCTTCTTCTTCTACGCGATACCGAGGTTGATTAGAAGGGGGGAGAGAGAGAGAGAGAGAGAGAGAGAGAGAGAGAGAGAGAGAGAGAGAGAGAGAGAGAGAGAGAGAGAGGAGGCTTTACTTGCCATCGACGCCACATATGTTGTCGATGGGTGCTGCTGGAAGAAGAGCGGGGAGAGTGTGAGGAGGTCTGTTAGTACGTGGAGAAGGGGAGTTAAATTGAGGTGGAGATGGTTTTGGGAGGGAGGTTCGGGGGATCACAGATGCTCTGTTTAGTTCTGGTATGTCGTGTTGTTTTGCAGATCCGGACTTTGTGTTCTTGGAGGTGGATTTGCGAGACGCGGGGTAGGCGTGGCTCAGTTGTTGACGGATCTGATCGAACGCTTACAGCTTATGAAGATTGTGTTTGTGTGGTGGTGATTGACTGGAGGTTGAGTCAAAAAAAGGTCTCAGTTTTCGACGGATCTGATCGAACGGCGTACATAGACTGAACTGAGCATGCTCTTCGGAGGGGTAACACACAGAGAGAGAGAGCTGTCTCTTATACACATCTAGATGTGTATAAGAGACAGCTGCTGTCCTCTGCTGTCCTCTGCTGTCCTCTGC